GCCTCTCTCTCTCTCTCTCTCTCTCTCTCTCTCTCTCTCTCTCTCTCTCTTTCTGGTGGTATTGGGACTTAAACTCAGAGCCTCATTCTTGCTAAGCAGGCACTCTACTACTTGACCTACTCCACCAGCCCAGATGACACAGGTTCTTGAAGATAAATATTTTTTCTTTCTTTCTTTCCTTCCTCTCTCTGCCTTCTTCCTTCCTTCTTCCTTTTTTACTATTCTTCCATCTTATGTTCTTTTTTTATTTTGACTGTAATGGGAAATTGTTGAGTAGAATTAAGCAGTAAGATGACAAGATTTAATTCAGGTTTTTAAGTTTCAAAGAGAGAGTGAAAATGATAGAAACTGAGAAAACAAGGGGAGGCACCAAAAGAGAAGTTAAACCAGACAGGTTAAACAGAGTACAAAGCTCAGAGAAACTCAAGGAAGAGAAGAACCTAGGGAAAAGCCATTCAAAACCCATTCTAGAAGTGAAGATGATTTGAAGAGGATGGGAATACATGAGAACATGTGACGTGGAATCCTCCACCTAAAGCTCATCCTCAGCCAGGTTTACTTTTAATCTTGGAGTTTTATTTCTATTTTAATATTTACTTATAAATATTCTCACCATTCTTTTGTTGTCTTTCAAATTTCTCCCTTTTTTTCTTTCAAGAAATTCTCAAACGTGGCCTTCAGTAAGCCTGCTTTTCCTAGGAAGTGAATTATATACACTAACCACTTTCCCTCTCTGGCAAGTCTCCTGTAACAAAGACTTAGAAAAGTTAAAAACTAGTATGAAAATTTGTTCTTATTTTACAAAACTCAACTGAAAAACAAGTATAGGTGACCTGCTGACATATAACATAATGAATTATAAAACTGCCATTTTATAGGTCACAATAGAATAGTAGCTACTTCAGGTGGCACAACTTGATATTTTATCTTAGATAACTCATTAGAAATAACACTTTGGACTTATACACACTGCTTATATTATAACATCAGATTTATCTATAAAATAAATTTACATGTTTAAATTCCATTCTTTGAGCAGAAAAAAAGAAGAAAAATATCAGCATAGTAAATTTTTCTATTCCTAACAGAATGTGAACAAGAGCATTACCTAACTTTAACCACCAGAGGGAACTAGAAAACTACCATTTGGCTCTACCTGTTGCTAACTTGTGTTTTGAAGAGCTCTCCTACTGAAAGGGCCTTCTGCTGATGTCTGAACTATAACATATCAAAATGCAGCAAATATTTCTAAAATAATTTGAACAGATCCCTTCCTTCTGTTTTAATATTTCTTTTTCGCCTTCCTTAGGTAAATGTTAATACAGACAACATTTACTCTCCTCTGAAGCAGCCAGAGGGAGTGTTACTGTCATTTTATGAAAGAGGGACCTGTACCCAAGTAATTCAGAGAACAATTAACTGCAACATTTTTGTATAGACAATCTTGAAAAGTGTCAAGAAAATAAATTCCACACATTTTTGTTACTTGCTTCATGTTTTCCCATCTCTCAACCTATCACTTAAGAATTTAAATTCAGTGAAAGTTCTTTTGTTTTTGATAAAACAATAAATAAACAAATAATGTTATTGAGCTAGTAATATCTGAAAATAATACAAGAACTTTGCCAGTAATGTGTTTTTCCGTTGGATTACTTTGTCAGCAACTAGCCTATCACCTAAGGTTTAACAATTACATAGTAAACTGTGGGGAATTCCCACCTCTTGAATTAAAAAATGAAATCATTCAGCACTGAAACTGTGACATTTATACATTGTCTGATTTTAAAAACAAAAGGTTAAAATGTTTTACAGTAAAAGCATGAATATACTTAGTAATTTAAAAAATTAAACTATTCATAATTAAATGAAGAATAATTCCTTAGCACTTCAGAGACCATTTCTATAAGAAGAGAAATAGTTTCCCAAGGAATATCTGATAAGAAGGAAGAGAAAGAGATCTTCATATGGAAGAGCTTCCCTTTTGCTCCCAGTGCCTTTCAGTGCTTAGGAGAAAGAGTTGTTCGAAGAAATCTGTCAGAGAGGTTTCCTACGCACACCACTGAGTAATGTTGATTGTGCTAGTGTAGAGTCCATGGTTAAGTAAGATCGGAACACACTCCAAGCCTTCTGAGAAGCAAACTGAGCACTGATACCCTGAGGGTTCTGAGAAGTTCTGCAGTAGGACATGGTTGTTGCATTGCAACCAAAGTTTTCAAAACTTATTTGAAGATAGAATATTTTCTGTATAATTCACAAATACAAGATCTTATTTGTGATCTCTGCTAAGATCCAGAGCACAACTGGTGCTTCATTTCCCTGCTTTCAAATCCAGAATTTTTCTACCTTCACACATTTCTATTCACTCTCCTCTCTGAAATTAGTGATGTTAGATCCTTCTGTGTGTTGTGACTGCTCACATTTACTATGGTGAATTGTCTGCTCTTGGGTTTGTCATTTTGAATTTTAAATAAAGTTGTTTTTTTTTTGAGGATTTTCAATGGAGATCTTTCCCTCTAGAAATGCTTTGTGTTTTTCTGTGTCAGGCACCTTAGAAATTTCCAACTATTTTGATATTTGTTTTGATGCCTTAAGATCAGTGAGGTTCTACCAAATAACAGTAGGGTAAATTTTTATCTCAAACCCAGATGAAGGTTAATGTGTAAGGCTTCAGAATCCCAGGGAGAATCTATTTTCCCGCTAATGGGTGAATTGTTTTTCCTAGTACACCATTCCACTGAAGGTCTAACTATTTATTATTTTCATCTTTATATGTGGAAGACCTCAATTCCAACTCTCTGACTTATCTACACCCAGGTTTTTCTCTTGCACTTATGAAGGAACATGTCTCTTGCTTTCCAAGATTACAATTTTCACTTCCAATTTTTTTCTGCGTTTTCTGATCCCTGAAGTTGCCCTTTACTTTCTCGCAAGCTAAGTTATGCATGTAATAATGGAGACTAACCCACTGAGCAACCATGTGAGCTACACAGCCAATGTAGATATAGCACCCCAGAGTTAGAGCTCTGTATTGGCGCCAGAGTAAAAGAAGAGACACACATTGTGTCACCACTTCCCCACTCAGGAGACTTTCCTGGCACATATAATATAAAGTCTGCTCTACACAGCTCTTCTAGATATCTGAAAAGCCTAAATTACATTACTAACCAACCATCTCATTAGCCCTGCCCAGGATGTCAAAGAGGGCAAGGGAATCAACATTTTTTCTGCATTAAATGGTGACTGATAGAAAACTACCTCCATATTTGACCCTGTAAATGCATTAAAAACCTGAGGGCCTGCCAGAAAGTGCCTTTACGCCTGGCTCTATTTTAGATTTCGTGACTTTCCTGAAAGGAATTGTAGCTTGCTTGAGTCATTAGGAAGATTCTGACAGGGAATCAGCTGGTATCTGCTGTTCTTTGCAGGACTCAATTTATCTATGATTCAATGCCTAAGCAGTCAGATAACTTAAAGGGGGCACCCAAGGAACACAGCCTGTAATTCTTGGTTTGATTAAATTGCAAGTATGTGTATTGGCTTTTAATATATGCATCAGGATAAACTCAAAACAAGGAAAAAACTACTATGCATGCCACCTTTGCTCATTCACCACTCAGCATTCTAGGAAAGGGTTAATTAAAAGCTTCTGTTTGTTGACTCTGTGGCTGAATCATAGCCTAAATTGACAGATTGAAGCTGTACTTAGCAAGATTACATTATGCCTCTGTTAGAGCTAGCAACCAATAAAGTCATATAGTGCTAAGTAATGCTAAGCTATTAACTTAACCATCTTTTAACCTTATTATAGTTTCATATTCTTTGTTTTCTAGATGTGTATGAATGTTTTGTTCTACTTTAAAACATGTTTTTTCTTAATTCATATTTTATATTCTGCTTCCTAGCTTATTAATGTGGCCTTGGGTAAATGCATTTCTATTGAAAACACTACAGCCACTCTGGAAGACTGTGATGGGAACAGCAAGGTAAGCTTAGCTATGGTTTTCAATCTATGGAAATAGATAGGTGCTCTGTTTGACATATTCACTGCTCACTTGAGAAGTTTTCCTTCACCCTGTAGAAATCCATGGTTAATCTATAAACTTCAATATAATTGTAAGGTTGGTATAAGAGAGTTCACCACTAAATGCAAAGACAGTGACTAAAGGAAGAAAGGTGTAAGTACAAAAGTTGATCTTCTAGATCCAGGGTGGATCCACTCCTGGCTCCTTCAGTTGCAAAAATGTGTTAACTTTCTCAGATTTGTTAACCTTTAGATAAATGCTAGTGATTGTATCACCTACCTTCAGAGCTGAGGTGAACCCAAAATTAGTAACACAGGAAACATGAAGAAAACACCTAATGCTTACTTCTCTGTAAATGTTAACAGTGATGATACTAATAAACAAAAAAATGCAAAACATGCATAATATATAAAGATAAAATGAAGGAAGACATATTTCTAAATAATCATCCTAAGGGAGCCACTTTATTCCCTGATTCCATCTCTCTTGTGCCCTGTCATCTACCTGCATCTCAAAGAGTAATGTAAACTCCATAGTCCATGATCCATGATAGAAAATGCTACAATAAAACTCCCAAAAGCTCAGAGCACAATGGTTAGGGGAGGGAGTAGGGCCAGAAAAACAGAACAGGAACTCCTCCTGTGATGCTGGAGGTGAGCTCTGACCGATCACACCTCCCTCTCCAACATATGTTCCCTAACAGATCTACATGCTGTAGGAACAGTTATCTGCTTTGGGTGCCAAATAGGACTCACAGGAACACTGATTCGTGAGTAGGAGTCAGCCCCCAAAAATTGCAGACCACATTTTCATGAAGAAATTATTTTGCAGTGGTAGTCTGGGCTTGCTAATCTTACTTCTTCACTTTGACTTAGAGATGTTGCTTATGCTTTCAGTCACATCTCTTAATTCAGGCACCTCTTAATTCAAAGTTGCTACTAGAAGAAAAGGCATCTCTATTAATGTAATTGAGCTATGGATTATAAACTTGAAGCCAAGGGAACTTATTCTTAATTAGAAAAGAGAGGAGACCGAGGTAAATGATGAGTGTCAAAAAATCAAATAAAAGCAATAACTTTTGCTTATTAACAACTCAAAGAAGAAATATTCATAAATTATAAAAACAACCCCACAATTAGTCTAAATTATATGAAGATATTAAATAATGTACTTCATCAAGACTAATCAATGTAGAAACTTTGGGGCCTTAGTAACCAGTGTTTCTTCTGAAAACTCAATTGCTATTCTTCTTCACCACTGGGTCTCTCTAGTGGAGGTAAGGAGACCAAAGTATGAATAATGTAGCCACTGCATTCCACAAAGTCCAATCCCTTTTTTGCCTTTTTGCTCATTTTTAGTGTCTGCTTCTTGTGGTTTATTTGAGTAGTAAAAGGAACAGGAAGATAAAGGAAGTTAATTTGGTTTGGATAGACTTAAGGTTTAATGCAAAGCCCATGACTATAGTTGTCAGCCAAAACAGCTCAAAACGAATAAAACAATTGGACTGAACCATGGAGCCCTATACTTTTCCTTACCAAAAGAGTTTCTCTAGTTATCAACTTTGTAACCAATTGAGATATCCCTTTTCAACATGCTATCTAGTTTATTTTAGTAGCCACATACCTCCATATATTATGCCACATATCCATGATCCTCAAATTTTAATGTCCACACAAATTAACTGTGGAATTTGTTAATGCAAATTTTGACTTAGTAGGGCCACAGTGGGACTCAGATACAGCATTTCTAACTAGCTCCTAAGTGGCAGTGACGTTAGTCCAAGGACTACCCTTTGAGAGGGAAGATCCAGCATAATGACTTTAATTTTACCTGATAATCTAAATTAAATCTCAGCTATGTTGCAAATTATTCATTAAATAAAAGCATTTAGATAAATTTTGCCAATAGTCCATTCATTTTCCAAATACATTTGTAGAAGTACAAATGGCAAATTTTCCAGACTCAGAGGTTTAGAGTATATTGACCAAACATCCAAAGAGTAAATTATAAACAACTATAGAAAATATTTTTAAGGACTGAAAAAAATGGCTCCATTACCTAAACTGTCATTTATTTTATACATTGTTACTCCCCCAAACTGAACAGCCTATGAACTGGTAGATGCTAACATGGTAGCAATACGATGGTTCCTTGTGCTAGCAGCAGAGAAATATTTTAACCTTCTTTACAATAGACAAAGCAACTGGAGTCCAATTGTCCAGATAATGTGAAAGAAGAAAATATAATAATTTTCACTGAAGAAACTTAAGACTGAGACTGAGAGCTCTTTGAATTTACCTATGGCTTGGAAATTTAATTGTGGTGGCTTATACATTCCAATACTTCAAGCACCATTGTTGTCTGGGTTTCAGAACACAAAACACAACATCTGCATACAGATGGCTATGAATTGTATAATAATTATTGCAGCTTACATATGTAGGCTTACTATGTGCTAAATACTTCATAGTCATTATCCTAACCCTCAGAGATAGATTATTTTGATATCCAACTTAAAATGAGGAATATGATAACAGACAAGGTAAATAATACACCCATACTACCAGATTGAAATGACAGTAGTCGGATTTGAACATAAATCATGAAATCAGAGTGCCAATATTCATACCTATTCTTAACAAAAATATTTAGCAAACCCTATACTTATGATTGATGCCAAAAGTGATCTTTTCTTTATTCATTTCCAATATAGTTTCAACAATTTAATTACACCTGGTTAAGACTTATTAAACATGGAGAATGGTGCTTAGCCTCTATCCCTGAAACAGGATCCCTAAGGCTGCATCCTTGTGATAACAGAAACAAAGGGCTCAAATGGCTGCATAAATCCACATCAATCTTTCATCCAGAACTGGTAAGCAAACTATTCATACCTCTTCTTTACCATAAATTCCATTTTCAATCATGTGGATCATAAAACTTTCATTGTCAGTTTCCTCAGTCTGAAGCTTTAAATGTTTGTGACGATAGAGGCAGTGTTAAAGTTCACTGGAAAACATAAAGATATATTTTTGTAAATTGTCAAGTCATTTTTTGGGGTTTGTTTGTTTTTTAATTCTTATTTCAAAAGAGTGATTGGAAATAGAAGTCACCAGGTTCTTATGGTTGTATTGTTATCATCCTCTTGTTTCTAAAATCATTTGTTTCATTCAATCAAGAATGCTAAAAGTAAGACTTCTAGGCTAAAGTTGATCCTCACTGGATAACAGAAGAGTTTATGGGGGAGTATATGGAAAAAGCAAGAAGCTGCATCTTTTACTACAGTTCTTGCACTCTGAAATAATTCTAGTTCTTTCCTCACTCTGTCCTTTTTCTATATAAGTTGTCTTTTTTCTTTTCCATCCCCTGTGATTCCAAAGACCTGGGCTCAGAAGGCAGTGCAGGATCCAGATCTCACCAGCTTATAGGAACTGATTGTGTACATCTGTTTCTTGCCAACTTTGCATTCAGTGACATCACATCAATAGACTGAAACCGGCCATCATGACAGTATTTTCATCACAGAAATCAGCAGAGGCTACTGGATCAAGAGATAATTTTCCAGAGGTCCAATCGTTCATATTTACCAGGTCACCTCTATTCTATATTTAGTTTCAAATCCACTCAGTTTTTTCCCAATTTTGTTTTAAAAGAATTCAAAGTCATATGCTTTGGCACAGGATCTTGAGGTGGCAGAAATAATCTCAGAACTGACTTCTCAGAGTTTCTCCCACCTCACAAGCAGGCAGCCATCAAATCTACTGAATGCATTTATTATATCAAATCCATCACTTTTCCCAAAGCTGGTCCCAAAGCAAACACCCTTTACTCCTTAGAGTGTCCTTCTTTTGATGATGGCTCAGACACTTCTCTTCCTGCTCAGAGTCAAAATCAAGGCTAAGTAATGCATTCTCCAATCTCTTACCACTTTTATCTTCTCTGTTATATTTTAGTTCCTCTGCACAATATTTTCCTCTTTAATGATAATGATTATTATCAAATTACTCAGAAACATTAGGAAATACTGCTATAAAAGCTACTAGTTTTATTTTTGCATACTGTTAGGAAAATCCATAAACATATAATAAATAAACTACATTGCACCTCTTAAACCGGTGCTAAAGATATGAGGAGAAAAGAAAAGGAGAGAAGGAAAGCATTACGATAAAGAGAAAACATGCTGGGCGTGACATCTTATGCCTATAATCCTAGCTACTCATGAGGCTGAGTTTAGGAGTACTAACGTTCCAGGAGAGCGCAGGCAAAAAGTTTGTGAGACCCCCATCTCAACCAATAGTTGAGAGCAGTGGCACATGCCTGTCATCCCAGCTATGTGGGAGTCTAAGATCAGGAGGATCATGGTTCCAGGCCAGCCTGAGCAAAAAAAGTTCACAAGACCCAGTCTCAATAGAAAGAGCTTGGTGTGGTAGTGGAAGTTTAGCTACAGCAGGAAATATAAATAAGAGGATTGCTAGCCCAGGCAAAAAGCAAGACACTATCTCAAAAATAGCCAGAGCAAAAATGGCTGGGGGTATGGCTCAAGCAGTAGAGTGCCTCCCTAGAAAGTATAAAGCCCTGAGTTCAAACCCCAGCATTGCCAATTGAAAACAAAAAAACTAAAACACATCCTGTATCCCTAGAAGTGAATCCTGGGAAAGATTTCTGGTTAGAAAACATTTAAACAGTAAGCTGATTTCTTAGAGAAGATAATTTAATTACAATAGAAAAAACTAGAAAGCTGACTCTCTATCCTACTTGTAATTGTGACTTTGTGACATGCTACATTACTTCTTTCTGCCTTTGATATTCTTTGATATTGCTATATGATCATGGAGATGAATATCTTGGTGGCTGGCTTTCATGTTTTTCTTTTTTTTTTTTTTTGGTGTGTGCATGGTAGTTTTCATACTAAATCTAAGTCCCTCTGTTAGTATTCCATTGCTGTAGCAAAATAGCTTAGATAATCAACTAATAAAGAAAAGAGGTTTATGTTGGCTCATAATTTTGGAGGTTCCAGTCCATTATAGGTTTGTCCAGTTGCTTTGGGCCTGTGGTGAGGTATCACGTAATTGTAGGAGTGCATATGGCAGCAAAATCACTCACCTTATGGCCAGGAAGCAAAAGAGAGAAAATGGAAGAGACCTGGGTCCCACACTCCTCATCACGGACATGCCACCAGTGGCCTATAACCTCCTAGTAGGCCCCACATCTCAAAGGTTCCAGCACTCCCCAATATTGCCCCCTGGGGACCAAGCCTTTGATCTTACATAGAGTCTTGGGCAATATTCAGGGGAGCAGTTGACCAAGACATGCAAGACTTAATGAACACTAGACATGGAGAAAGAGACTCTAAGTAACAAAAACCCGTTTCTCCTTATTGAAAGATTAGGGGTTAGCAGTTTCATGGAAAGAGGAAGTGTAGCAGTGAGTTCGCCCTTGAAAACAATGAGTTATTAAAAGTATACATTTCTAAATCTGCATTTAAAAAGTGTTCCCTAGGTCAGCCCTCCCCAAAAGATCAAAATTTTGGTCACCCTAAAAGAAATGATCTTATAGGTGGCATATTTGGAATATGGAATTTCTCTCAACTGCTGGTCAGATGTTTTAGTTAGGGGACAAAGAGGAATTTGGTAACCTTTTCATAATCCACCAGCAGAACATTATAGACAATCCAGAAGGATTTTCCTGAAGGCCAACTACTTTATAAAACCTTGCACATACTCAAACATTAAAAGTCCTGCAAGAGTGATAATATTTTTATAGGGACACTTTTAAATAAATGATTATGTAAATCACCCCTAAAGGTTCTAAGTAAGTTATCTATCATTTCTCAGATATTCAATCAATATTAAGCAATGATAAGGCCATCTGGAATATTTTGACATTTTCATAATTAAATCTGGATTGTGCACATTGGGCATTATATACTATCAGAAATTATGGAAAGGAGTTCATAAATAAAATGCATCATTTCTAGCATTTTGTAATATGAATGCAAATTCCAGGACATGAATTTAATTAAGAAATCAATGAGTTCACTTTCTGTCATGGCATGTGTTTTTTTCTTTACTATCACCAATGAGATAGCCATCATCCATCAAATATGTTAAATGTCATCAGGAAATTTTTCCCTTTAAATAATATAGCTATCACCCATATCACTAAAAAATGCATCTTCTGCTTCCTGGAGAATTAAAAATCTTATAGCTTGAAGAACTATGACAAGTTAGTTATGATAAGACAGAGGCAAAGTTAATGTTTTCAAAGAACATGTTTATGTCATTAATTTAGTTCAAGCGGCTTCTTAAGAAATTAAAACTATAATTGCCTTTCTTGAGGTGGGGGTTATATTTTTTATATCACCATTGTCAAATTCAGTCTCTGGGTCATTCTGAGATCCTCTTTCTCTCCAGGTGGATCACATTGCTTTTGAAAATTATCAGCAGTTGCTATGCTTGGAAGGAAATTTTTCTCAGAAGACCTTGAAATTATCTTCTTGTGACCAAATGAAACCATATCAAAAGTGGAAATTTGAAAAATACTATGAAGACTAACGAAGAACTGATATTTTTATCTAGTAAACCCATTAGATGCTGTGAAAATGACAGTCAACTTGTTCATTGTATTTCTCAGTGGCAGTTTAAGATTTTTCACTTTTAATAGCATTTCAATGGAAGATTTTTTTTAAATCACAATATTTGGAGTACAAAAGATAACTCAGGGTCCTTATTCAGCCTTGTCTGGCCTTTGGAATTGGATGCTTCCAGCCCTGTGCTATAATTTTTCCTGTCATCTCATAGGTAACCAGAAGTGAAGACTCACTTAGGGAAGCGTAGTGATACTCATGATGACTGTTTAACGATTGTCAGCAACTCTGTCCTACACAAGCACAAGTATAACCAATGAGAACATGGCCCTTTATTGACTAATTTTTCACCAAATTTTAAATGTTTGGTGTTTGATGACTAGAAGACCTAAAACTGATGCACAGAGCTACCAACTGTTGAAATCCCTACAGACTACATGCATGACCTAACAGTTTGACATGCTATTGATTAACTATTGATGACCCTACCTAATGGCAAGGTTTTGGTTTTGATTACTACTTACTCTTTCTTTTCTCATAGTTAGTGGAAAAAAATCTAAGTGAGAAAAAGAGGTTTAAAAATGCTTATTTATTTAAAAACTCTAGGTATGGATATTGTTTCATTTCATTTTGTGTTTTTAAAACTACAGTTTAAAAAATTACTCATACCAGTAACATCCTAGTCTTTTATGAGTATTTTTTAAAGGGCAAAGAAAGAAAAAAAGGCTAGGTCACAACACAATGTAGTAACCAAGAACACATTTAACCAATGAACAAATGCTAATGCAGGGCAGAGTTAAAACAAACAGCAACAAAACAAACAGAAATACCACTGAAGGATATTAAGGCTTCTCAAAAATAGTAGAATTTTACTTTAGATTTAGCAGTATTCACTGGGATGAAATATGCAAAAAAATGGATTCAAACTAAAAAAAAAAGATTTCAAACTACAAATAAATGAAAGAGGAAGAAAATGAGACAAATGACTTTTAGGAAGACAATTGAAGAAAACTTTTCCCTAAACTTGGTAAAAGAACAGAGGGGATATGAAGGAGGAGAGAAAGAACAAAGCCCTCAATGTGGACCAGTTATACCATGGCAAATCTGGGAAAAGTTACATATTTCTTCCATCCAAATCAAGCTCTTATCTTAACTATACCAACACTTAGGCATGTCAGAACAAAAGCTTAGTAATTGAAATAGCCTTTGTGTTCATTTTGGTAAGAAAATTGATGTCTGAAGACAAATTACCTGTCTAAAAATCACAGGACAGTTAATGAAGGAATTCTGATGAGAATTCAGTTCTCCAGAGACAAGGCTCTTCTGCTGTTTCAGGTTAACAGCCTAACAAACCCATTCCACACAGTCCTTAGAAAGAAATTGACTTGTGGAGTGGCTGAAATGATAGAGCGCTTGCTTAGCAAACATGAGGTCCTGAGTTCAAACCCCAGTACTGCCAAAAAAAGTTTGTTTTAAATTCTTGTTTACTTGAGATGATGGTAAAACTGGGAGTTTTAGCTCTGACCTCCTTTTTAACACCTAATTTTAATTTCCAGCTACAACTAAGACTAGAATAGGGAAAAACTTCTGTACATTTTTACCATATTTGAAATGCTTTATTCAAATAATTGATGATTGCAGATGAAATAAGAGAATAGCTAGAAAATGAGATAATACTTTTCAAAATAGCCATATGGGGAATGAAACACAAGTTGCTTGCCAGAGGACTAGTTGAGTGACTGACCAAACTGAACATACTGGATGCCTTGTGTAATTCTTCATGTCACTGAAGAATTTGAAAGGTTCCTGCCCCCCACCCCCCGTCTGTACAGCCTCTATTTTTCCCAAAACAGCTTCTACAAAGAAAAGTCAACTCTGTTCCAAAAAAGGTGAGTCATGCTTTGGATACCTAACTTTGGTTGTCCCAGCTGAAGAAAATTGAATGTTTTCCTTCTCTAGTCTGCTCAGTGTATGTTCCATCTGACATTACCTTGTTATACTTATTATATAAAGCTGTATTTGAATCTATATTGTAAATTCTTGGGTAGAATTTTTAAAACAATTTTACTATGTATTTTCTCAATTACCCTCACATGTGAGAAGCTAATCACTATTTAAGAATCTGTGTGAACAGTCTTGACTAACTCTTAAATCTACTACCAAAATTTTTTAAAGCATTGCCCTCTAAATTTTGTTTATAGAAGACTGGAATAAGCATATAAATCCTAATAAGTCTTCTTTTACTTCTAATGATAACCCTGTGGATGAGATGCTTTAGGGTCCTAACCAGTCCTGAATACAATAGTAGGCTGTGTTACTGGGGGCTTCAGTTTTCCTTGGATGGACTTAAGTTATTCTCTGCTTAGAAAACTGTCTATGCGTAGCTTGAACCCAGAGTAGCTTAAAAATATGTAACAGAATGTTTTTGATCAAAAACTAGTTTACTAAACCCTGGAAGTGCTTCTGCACCTTTCAGTTTGCACAGTTTCTTTCTCTTTTCAATGGTTACAAGATCTTCTACCCTACTTTTCCATGGGAAGACACAGCTGTCGTTGGGGTGCACGCCTCTTTTTATCACAAGCATCAAATTTGCTCAGTACTGCTTGCTGACATTCAATAGCTGTCATTCATAGGGCTGCAAAACCACCGAGTGCCACGATCACAATTAGTTTCCCACACTAATTTGGAAACATTCTCTTAGATATTAAAACACCTTGCTTCTAACCTTAAGGATTATAGAGGGACGGTGATAACATTTACAGTGTACAGCAATTCAATATTCAGAGTCAATCCTGATTTCCTGGATCACTTACAATGATTTTCAAGAAGTTTATATGCAAGATAATGACATTGAGAAATACCAGGTAATGCCATCATTTTTTGTATTGTTCAAATATTTCTAATTTAATATTTAGATTCATATTACAAGAAAGAAGCAAGACCTCAGATGAAGGCCTCAATATCTTGGATAAAAATAAGGAAAATACAAGAGTAAAGAGAAAAGAGAGAGGAAATAATTATAATTGAATCCTTACTACACATAGGTACCTTATGTGCTCTGTCTCACCATCATCATTCTCCCCATTACATGGATGAGGTGGGTCACTCTCCATTACACGGTTGAAGAATTTGGTCATCCCACTCATAAGAGATAAAACCCTCCTATTCTGTCTGGCTCCCCTCCCAAAATTTCTTGCACTGTGCCATGCTGTAACAGTTTTATCGAATAGGGCTGTCTGTGCAAGTGAACTCCGTTAAAATCCTTTGGTGGTATTTGTTGATGTCAAGGATTATGAAATGAGATAGAATCAAAACCTCTTTGGTCTATCTTGGATTTTGCATAGGTAGGAAATAGAAGAAGGCCTCCCTCTCTGTTAAACAATTGATGTGTAGAAGTAAGTGTAATGACTCTCATATGTAGGACCTATTCTTTTCCATCTCCTGGGCCAAATATGAGAAACAGAAATGGACATCCAGAGGTATGTTTCTCTGTGAGTAATAGTACCAACTTTTTCTTCCTCCAGCTTGTAAGCAAAGCTGACAACTGCTATGTTTAAGCAAAGATGGGCAATAAAAAATTTAAATTATAATCCAATTTAAATTATAAACCATGACTTTAACTTCCACTGTGCTACACTGCTTTTGCAACACATGTTACATGGGTTACTTAATGATTGCTACAAACCAAAATGCCTTAAAAAGAGAAAAGAAGCAAAGTGACTGTACAAAATACTGTTTTGGCAAGTATCCTTTCCATAAACAGTGAGCTTAATGGATGTGTTTCCTGTATTGATGCCCATGTCTAAAGGAAAGGAAAAACATAGCATTACACAAAGCAGATTTAATGTCTTTGTTTTCAACCTAATGTATCAACTAACAGTTACCATTTCAATAAGTGACCCTTTACAAGTTTATGTGAGTCTTTCCTTTGTAAAAAAAATTACAAAAAGATAGAAGTGAAAATTCTCATTTTTCAACACATAGGACAACTGCAAATATGCTGAGCTCCTAGTAGTGATAACTGCCATTAAGTAAGTAACAAATAACTTCTTTGGAAGTAGAGGTTTTCTACTTTTACTATTGATTGATAGATATTTGCCAGTTTAAAGATATAGATTATTAATATATAAATAAAGCCTTTCTATTAGATATTGAAATTAAAATTTCTAATACCATTAATAGAGATTTTAACCTTTACATGACCATTTGAAAATACCAATTTTTATAAAAATGTATGCCTAAATACAAACATATATGGATACATGTGTGTTTAATACTTTAAACTGAAGAAAAATAAAACCAAAAGTATTTACATGCATTGTAAAGAAAAAAAAGGGATGTCATTAGGTATTTTTAACTCACTTTTTAGTTGCATAGTTTTGTCTACTTTTGGCCCCCTGAACAAAACTTTTTCAAATGGACTCTCACTCTGGTACTGCTTTGCAGAGTGATCAAATTAAATTATCAAGCTGCTATTCTTCAGTTTAGAATCATGCACATGCCTTAGTTCTTCTTCAGACAGATGCCCAAATTTTGCTAGAGATATACATATATCTCAGTTATAAGACATTGAGATAAGACAAACATCAAGGGAGAAGTTTTGTTGTTGGTTACCTGAAAGCATTTGTTAATGGGAGAATCATGTTTAAACTATAGAGTACAAACAATTTGTAATTGTTTGAATATTTTTAAGTACCCACTATTTTTTGTCTCTGACCAGCTGAAATTATTATAAAGAATGAATCAAATTTATAACTTTAAATTTATAGGGAAAAGTCCAAATCACTTTGTAAATTCATTTCCCAAGTTCTCCCTAGCTGGCAGTTTGTTACTAGATGTTACCAGTTTATTTTGTACTTTGCCATCTGTCTGGGTGATTTCTGTGCCCATTACCATCCTGCATTGTGTTTGTGCTGATTGTATGGCCCAGTCATTTTGTATTCTTCATGAGCTGAGTACACATTTTGGGTTTCATATTTATGGTGCTATGTTGTGGTCTGATATTTTAATATTGGCAAATGCAACTTTCGACATTACTTTTTATAAACCTCTTGTTTTTATGGAGCAATGAAAGTTCAGGCTTTGAGAAAAGTAGTTGCCTTTTTCATATGGTCAAACATATCTCTTCTTTATGATCTGATGTTTCATCCTTTTCCATAATTCTTTAATATTACTTATTTTAAATGTTTTCCCTATCACTTTGAAAAACTTAAATGTATGTTCTCCACTTGAAAATGTGCCAAAATTACTACCCCACGTAAATTTGCAGAAACAATTACTGTAAAAGCGTTAGAAGAATTTCAATTAATTTTCTTAATGACTGTGAAGATATTATTTCACATTTTTTGGTGCTAACATGCAGTTGAAACAATATCTCATTTTTAAAGTAATAGAATTTTTATGTACATTACACACCAGAAGTTATTTTTATGATTTCATATACAATCATCTTAAGACCTTTTGAAATAAATAATGCAAATTAATTATATAAGGTATTATCTTGACTTTTGAAGAGTCGTTTATTATTGGTCTTAGTAGTTGCTGAAATGGAAGGGTCCTTACTAAATTTTAAAAGGCAGCTAAAGAAAACAAAGTATAGAATTCAGAAACAAAGAGCACAAACTTTTATTGAGAGCAAGTCAGACACGGCAGTTCTTTATCTAAATTATTAAGATAGAGAGATGAATAAGATAGATAGATACATACAGGCATGCATACATATATGCATATATACATACATACACACATACATAAACAGATTCTGGAAAATACTGTGACTTCCGATACAGCATTCTATGAAAGGCACATTTTATATTTATAAAGAAAGCTATCATTAATTCCTATTAATCTGGCAGCAAAAGAAATTAAGTCATGTAAGCAATATCAGCATTCACAAAATAAATTAATTCTCTTTCCTATCAAATACCAGAATACTTACCATCCCTGAACCTGGAATCACAATTACTTGGGTAATCCTTCATAAGTAGTTACCAATTTTTATTCACAATCATGTACTCCATGCATATAAAATATGGTAAATAGACTCTGTGCAATCTGAACTAGACCTTTGTCCTTCCCAGGCTACAAAAACTCAAATGGCCATAATCACTATCATGTTATTCAAAGCTGCTTAACCCTATGATGTAAGATGACAGTTCAGGGCAATGCACACTGATGCCATAGAACACTGTCGGTGCTCTTTTGTAACTGCATTGCTTCATCCATGAACATGAAACTTTTACAAGCTAACATACCATACAATAGTCATGTTGACAATATGTTTCATAGTCAGTTAATTGTTGGGTGAGTGCACACAGCTAAAAAGACAAAGGTTATTACATATTGGAACTATATAAAAGCCAGTTGCTTTGCCATGTCACATAACCAGAGATCACCCATCACACTCAAATTCCTTAAGAATTCATCACCTCTGTTGGATAATTCAAACTACAGATTCTCTTGAAGATAGGTTAACAATAAGGGTCCTGTTACATGACGGACAATGTAATATTGTGTTTTGAAGTTAAGTAGAAAATTATAGTGATCATCAGTAACCCAGAAAAAAAATAGGTTGTCCTGGTGGAAAGATTTAGAGGATCTAAGTTAAGCAGGAAGTTGTCCTAGTGCATCAATCTCCTACCTAACCTTATCCAGAAAAATCCTTGATTTCCCTCACTTTATTCTGAAAACTCACATTTTCACCCAGCTGAAATCTGCAGGTCCAAGAGTTTAAGGTTAACAGACATTTTGTATGGTCAGTTGTAAAGTCTCTGTTTGAAAGAATAAAAGGAGCACTTCAAACCTGTACTCAAAATTGAGTCTTATAGACATTAAATAATACTGTGGAACTATATTATATGGCCAAGAAGAATTAAAGAAGTTGCTATGAGAATGTGTGGGATTTGTTACACATAAATGAGCAATAATCTAAGAGGACTAACCCAGGCTTTTTCACAAAATGAAAAAGAAATAAACAATGGGTGAATAGTACAATGAAGACTGTATTACATTCAGACAATAAGGAATTGTCTTTTTATTTGCAGAGCCAAAGATATTTTTATCAGTGGTAACAGAAAGTTCAGAGTAACATATATGGAAGCATGAAATGAAAAATTGTGGAACAAACTATCTAAGAATATAAATATAGATTTCCTTTTCATAAATATTCAACACATTATTTGACACATTGGTTTGAGTGAAACTCCACAAGTACAATTTTAAGCTTCTGGATTTGGGCAGAGGTCCAGCAAATTACAAATTCCCAACAACTATCAATGCTTCCTCTCTAAAAATATGTGCTCACACCCTACTTTGAACATATTCTAAGATGATTATTTCTATTTTTGTAGTAACTAGTACAGTTATGACTAGCATTGTCTCAGATTTCTAAGGAAATAAAATTATTCTAAGATAATAGAATTCTTAATAAGAGAAAGTGGTAATAGTGAGGAGCATTTTATTAAAATTGTGCTAAAACTGTGATTTTTATTTTTAATAACTTTAATTGTGCCACACAAGATTTTATTTTCAATCATAAAAATAAAACTATCCAATATAACTCTTTAGTCTATTGCCCACCAATCTAGCAGCCCCTCCCTGTATCACCCTCACAATGGTTTTAATTCAACCCAAAAGCATAAAGCCAACATCTAGCAAACAATTCTCCTGACTGGAAATTAATCAGCCCCTCCAGTGAGAAAATTCAGTTTATGATGACACCTAGGAAGGAGGTCTATAGAATTTTCGCTCAGTGGATGGCAAGGAAAAACAATTTTTAATGATAATAGGAAAGATAAAGAATTTTGGACAGTTTATTGCCAGAATATATGCAAAGCCATTTTCAAAGGGAGGAAGGGTTTAATACAGGCTTTCTATCACCCCAGTGTACAGGAAGAAAGACACCAAAATGAATATAGAAGCCACTTTACATTTCACATGGTTCCTCCTTTCATTTGATGACCACCTTGAAGGCAGATGATGTCAGAGTCCCCAATGGGACCAGCTCTTTAATGCTTATCATGTAATGCTATATTAATGAAGTTTTAAATGCCCACGAATGAAGCTAAAGCTTTTACCAGAATGAATTACCAGTTACCAGAATGAATTTTGTCTAAGGTTATTTTCACATTATTCTACCATGAAAAAAACAATAAGCTTGCACATCTTTCAAGTGCATAATTCAAACAAGGCATAGAAAGATTCATCACAGGACAATAGAATTAGTTTTTGCATTAGGGATCATGAAATATGAGAATTTCTCAGCTCCAGTTAGTTTATAAATGCATCATAGACTCAAATTCATCGATTCTTTGTTTGGTGTTCCCCTTCCTGATTTTCCGATAGGATATTGTGTTATATCTGGAATAAGCATTTCTGGAGATATCACCCTTCTTTCCTAACATTGGCTGCTCCTCAGGTGTCACAGGTTGGGAACTGGGGCTGCTCAGTGGGGAGTCCTCACTTGCATCACCTTCTTCTTTGAATTGAGAACCTTCTTCATGTTTTCTCTTAAATTCTATTACTCGAACTTCATCTTCATCATCATTGCATTCATCACCATTATCATTAGCTTCTTCATTCCAAACCTCTTCCTCCTCATCATGTTTGCAATGCAACATGTCAACTTGGCTAGGTTTTCGATATCCCAACCATTCAATTTCTGTTGCCTGGTAAGCTTTGTTCTGAATACCCTCATCCTCTCTCTCTTCTAGAGGTTGTTCCATGATTCTTTCCTTTGCTCTTCTTATTTCCTGGTTACTGCTGCTCAGAGGAATCTTCTCCCACTGATGCCCTGTAGCAAAAGCAATTGGTAGTTGAGATGTGAAGAGGGTCCAAAGTATCTACTTGCTATTTTGTTACTCTCTGAATTATTTTTCTGGACAATCATTTTCAGCTTGTGTTTTGTGGGGTATGGTTCTTGGTTATTAATAAGTTCTACAGAATTAGACAAGCTTCACAAACAAAATTAGTCTGGAAAATACTGCTTTAAATACAGTTAAATAAATGTTTTCAGAATTTATCCCAAGCTTTTAAAATGTTAATGAATACTGTAAATCTCCAAGAAAATCTACAACCTAAACTCCAAAGACTTCTATTGCTATAGACTATTCTCTTCAGTAAGACTAGTATTCCCTGAGGCACACAAAAATCTTGTGTAGCCTGTCACAATTGGATATGTGAATATATGTAATAAAATGTTTGGGTCTATCTCATACACACAAACACATCCCTTAAGGAAAATTAGAATACATCAGGGAGAAAACCCTTTCTTCCAACAGTGAAAATGATGACTGCCCATGTCTGGTCACATTCAGATAGCAAACTTGGTATTTGGTCCTGTCGCTGAGTTATCATAAAGCAATTAGGTATGGAAGGAAGAGCAGGGATCCACAGACGGTTAAGACTCATGTGCTCACAACTCAGGCACCATGTCCATCAAAGCACACACAATGAGGTCTAAGATTTGCACTGATTTCCAGAAACCACAGATACTTGTTGAAGTCATAGCTACATAATGCTATGTTGTTTAAAACAAGTTCTGAATGACAACTAATTAACACAAGTTACTTGGTATTGTGTAGCAACTTTTAAAGGGTTTAGTGCACTGCAGTCATCACTTTTAAAACAGCTAGATCATATCAACATACCTTCACCAATGCTCACTGAGCATGCTAAGAATGTATTATAACAGAGCCAAGGTTGTTCGCTGAGCTTTCACCCCTAACAGGCTCTATAGGAAGCATCAGTCTGGGTAGTCTGGGTTATATCCCTTGCCGGGCCTAGTTCCACCATTCCTTTTCAACACATACATAAGATGAGAGGCAGTGGTCTTCTTTGTCCCTCCCCTCCACAATTTTCTATCCTTTCTGAAATATATGCCTTTTCATCTAAAGCTTTTAATTATTTTGTATTTTTTTAAACTTTAAACATCAGATTTTTAAAGTATAAACATAGAAATAGAAATGAATTATTCACCCCACATTAGTTATATACAGCTGCTGCAAGTTTGTTGGTGTCCAGACAATATTCTTTACATCACACACATACACATTAGAACGTTTGTATTATAGTATTAAGCTTTGCTTTTCCACAAGAACCAAACTGATCTTTTTGTTCATATTCATGCCTCAGGCATAGGATTGTTGTGAATGAAACTACTCCTTGAATTTAAATTCTAGCTTTTCTTCAATATTTTTATCATCTTTCTACTTTTCAATCCAGGAACATTCTCTGAAGATTTTTAGCTGTTTGCCATAGTGAAAATAAAAGACAACAAAATCTGTGATTCCACTGGAGAGAAAAAGTACATGCTACATCAAACACAAAGGATTTGTGCAAGGACAAATTCACCAGTGACACCAACTACTTTAAAAAGACAGGCTATTTTCATTCTCCATTTAATCAAAATGGAAGATCCTAGAAGACTATTGTTTGCAATGGATTTCCTGATCAGAAATTTGAAAAGGTTTCTAGATGGAAGACTATGATTCCTACTTTGGAGGGCTTGTTATATTGGAAGCAGAAAGAATTGGACAAAAAAGTCATTTGGTTCATTCTGTGAGGTCTTAAGCTTTATAAATTATCTCTGGTGGTGTAGAAGCTTAACAATGGCTGTTGCTTGCTGTCTTTTCCATGAAGTGTGTATGCATTCATCAGCAGGCAGTCTGAGAGCTGTCTAGGTAAAGAGAGCAAACCCAGGAAACTGCCAATAGCCTCCCTGTCTTCTTTGACCTCTACTATCTTATGTGATATTCTAATGTTTCAATCTGTAGTCCCTTGTACATTTTGCTTGTCAATGTCCTTTACTATATTGGTTAGATCTAACAAGATGACTTGAATTTTGAGATAACCTGTTTACAGTTCCAAGAGAGAGAAGGAATGATTAATTGATTTTATCCTGCACTTTATTTGGAAGTTGAATGTAAGTGTCTTCTTAGAAGAAATGTCTGAAGGATTTTGTATCTCTTAATCTATTGACTTTATTTGAATCATAATATAGTCATTCCAATGCTCTTTACATTCTCCCATTTACTTAAAGAACACAAAGTTAACTCAATCATCCTGGAAGCTTTCTTTGACAAGAAATAGTTAACCATTTTGTACTAAAATCAGAGGCCTAGAATTTTCCTGTAATTAAATCAATTTACACAATCACTTTAAACTGCATGTCAATAGTAGACTTTCAAGATAAACCTGTTTTTGAAACACTTCACAAGGTGTCTGATACAGATTTTGAGACACCAAGTCAAAAAGAAAGGCTGATTTAGTGGACTGACTTATTAGGAGACACATGTCATGCTGGCATGCCAATCAGGTATTCCAATACATGCAGTTTTAGCCCTGAGCCATCTGGAATGCTTGCTAAGGTGGAATGGACAGATAATTCAAGACCCTCTTATCTGCCTATAACAGCTTGAGATTTCAAAGTCATTGCTGGATTGCTTTTTAATACCAAATTCACACAGTATTCCATGCAAAAACTGTCATCATATCCAGTCAAACAATTTCTAGTGTAAAAAACTACAATTCCTGTTACCTTCTCTGAATGTCATCTCCTCAGCACTTGTTTCTTGGAGAGAAAGATCTGTGATGGCCTTATGAACAACAAAGAGGTTCTCTTCTGGGTTTTCTGGGGAAAAGTACAAGTATTTAAAACATATATAGTTCAAGGGTTCACAAATTATCCATTTAGAGTCTAGGTAGATTAATTTTAATTATGATTACTAAAAGTTATTTTGACTCTTCTGATTCTTTTTTAATTGATTCCATTTATTTATTTGACAATTTTTTTATCAATATAATCCCTCCTTTAATATTTATAGAAGATATAGAACCATGAATTCAGATATCTTCAAATATATATAAAGAGGGATTTTTTTATTGTTGTGCAGGGTGAGGGTAGATGGGGATCTTGAAGTTCTGAGTTTTCTTTGGGCAAATAACATTGGATTGTCTATAATAAATAACAGTAGTTGGCATTGAACTAGAATTTAGAATTTCTTGCAACAAACCCACAAATGTGATAACTATTAAGTTTTCTCCCAGTTAAGGAGACAAAGAAAATTATGTGGAATCATGTTGCCACTGGATAGACAAGTCTGGATTACCAGAGGCAGAGGTTTAGCTCTATGGTATGCAACCCTAGTAGGATAAGAGACTATATTTCTTAGGTGCCCAGCTATTCCTGTAATGAAGTTTATCAAAAAAAAAAAAAAATCCTGAGTGAGCTTACACATCAAAACAAGCAAATAAAGAGAAAGGAAAATACTTTACCTTTTAGAATCTTCTTGTCCATGGGCCAATTGGGCAATATGTTCCCTTGGGGTTTTCCACTTTCTTCCTGCTTTCCTTTCATAGGTAAATCTTCAAGACTGGGTTCAACCCTGTAGTATGGCAGGGTCCCATCCACATCAGTCATTTGCTTACTGATTTTACTGGTAGGTTGTTGACCATTTTCAGGTGGTCTGTCTCCATTACACTTGTCCCCACTAACTGTCGCAGGAACATCTGTCATGATGTACACTGAAGTCCAATTTGGAGAGAGCTTTAGGGAAGCTAAGTGAGCAGATCTTTGATATGATACCTTCTATTGCCTTCAAGTCCTATAGTGCCAAATCTTATTCTAAAAGCATAGATTATTCACTTTGGTACATAATAGCAAAATTTTTCTCTTAAAGGTGTCCAGACAGAGCTTAGAATAAACGCAATAGGATTGGTCTGATTTGCCACCAGCCCAGGAGCAAGGATTCAGCCAATCAGCTCCTCCCTTACTGTTTAGCAGTCCCACTTGCAGAATTAATGCCACCCTCTTGATTTACATAAACGAACAATCTGAGGCAATGGGGCTTTTGTGTTGGCATGTGGAGGGGGACTTTTAGCTTGTCAGCCCTCCTCTGGGAACAGAGATTTTTGTCCCTTTCCATAATGGGCCATTGTAATTTTCCTTGTAACAGGAGCCACAATTGTTCCACAGCTTTAATCCAGAGAGAGTGACCACCTTGAGGCTTATTAGTTCTGTGTAACCAGCTTAACATTTCCAAACAGATTTTCTTCAGAGTAAAACCCCTGCTATTTCACAGGAGACAATGGCATCGTCTCTTATTTATTAAAGAATAAAAACAGTTTATCAAAAACCTGTGAACAGGATGACTTTATTGTAAGTGGTTCTGGCAACAAACTTCATGGTACGCTTCCCTGAGGTTGAGAAGGGACCTACAAAAAAACAAGTCATTTTACTGATAAGCTATACCAAAAAAGTCTCAATTTTAGACTAATTCATTCTATCTATAATTTCTTATTCCTCAGTTTATTTATGTCTACTGGAGCCCATCTCATCCTTTGAAACCCTACTATAATTTTCTTCATGCTGTCTCTGGCTCTTATCAGAATTATTCTCTATATTTTATGCTGATGCAAGGTGGTGGTGCAACCTGCCTTTAGGGAAAATGAGTGATTAATTAAAACATATGCTACCAACTTTTTAAAGGAAGATGTTGGTTCTTTTTTCTTTTTTGGATCTCATGTGTTACAAAATGATTCCAGAAAGCTGGCCCAAGCCTCTGCCAATGCAATGTCCTGCCCTTCCTCAAGGCCAAGCCCTAGATTAGTGTACTCCTCCAAGTCCTCAGTTATTAGGTTAAATATCATTCCTCCCATGACACTTTCCCTGACCTAAAGGATTAGAAGGGGACTCCTATTACATGCGATATTTTGCCTTCAGAGTACTCTTAACAGTTGCAATAAAACAGTAACTGCACAGCTGTCTGTTGTCTAGTTGGTGTCTGCACCAACTAGAATCAAAACTTCATCTGGGCAGGAGTCATCTTAACTTGCTTACCTGTGTTCCCAGCATACAGCATCTGTTTTGAACTAAGTAAGTACTCTATTTAAAATTTTAAATACATATTTGAATAAGTGAATAAATTTAACTCCCAAGATAACACATTTGAGATCTCTAATGGGAAAGGAAGAATAGAAGTTGGAGAGTAATTATAAATTTATTGCCTTTAAAATTGACATGACTTTTTTTATTTGGCTTTTTCCTTGGTTCTTATTCTTAATAGCAAAGGGTGTCATATAAATATAACCATTATCAAATCTTTAGCAAAATATGATTGTAAAGGGAACTTCACATGGCAATGTGAAGCGTCAAAATCAAATCATGTAAATCCTCACATTCTGTATGTCAAATGTTTAATGTTAAGTCTATATTATGTCCAGAAACATGATTTGGGGAAAAGTGGTAAAATCATGAACCTTAATATGTGAAAATCCAAGGCACAACTGAAATCAAGGAGGACAAATCCAAGCACGGTGGTGTTGTCCCCTCTCCGATGTTCTTAGAAGACATCTGTAGTAATACTGCAGCTCCCTCTCTGGTCATCATCAGTTCTTGTCTATCCAGCACACTAATTATTTGCTGACTTGATTGATTGAATTTTTAAATTTTCTTTAACAAACACTCACATAATACAGTTCTGCTTCAAAAATACCAATAAAATTAATCTGTGACATAGGTGTTTTATTAACCCCATTTTACAAACAACAATATGAAGCACAGATAGAGTAAGGAACTCGCTCAAGGTCACATAGCTGATAAGTTTACTGATAAGAGTTTACAGCCTGGGTGAAACCAAAGGCCATTCCAGTAGATGTTTCCGTGGGCAACAGATCCCACAAGCATCCAGAATGAACACCCTAGCAGCAGAGAGAGTTGTAGCCATGAGAGGGCGGCAGAGAGCCCGAGGCACTATGAAAGCTTTCATAAGAGAGACAGCTGTTGAAGACAGTATTGAGAGGGGATCATCCCAAGAAATTCAACTAGTAAGCCTCTGGATGAAAACATACTGACTGCAATCACACCGGGAAATGAAGAAACGAAGACCAAAGTTTGGGTGCAAACAGGGACATATTAGATTGTGAGATCCTTAAAGGCAGCAAGTGGCACTGATTCTACAAAATGTCCTACAAATAAATGGAAATATTGAAATGCTCATATTAACTTTAAAAGTCCTATCCCCAATCACTCCCAATAGGGACAGTCAAGTGCCTCAATTCAGTGGTACCGTAAGGAGGAGTATATTCTCACTGTCTCTCAGTTCTACATTTCTATTATCTATAGTAACTGAAGCATGTATCAATAGCCCAGTTTTTAATCATAATTTAGTTAAGGCTCTGCTCTGAACTTTCTATAAAATAATTATTTTATTTTAGATTTGGATAAATAGAACAATGAACCAGAATCTGTCAACTTTGGTTAACCAATGTGTTCACTTCTATAAAAATTAATTTTTATGCTGCCATTCAGAATAATGGATATCAGATAAATAACTAATAATTTGTTATTTTTCCTACAAATAGGAAGTGACATAAGATACATTTAGCACCAAGATAAGTGTGACTACTAAATAAAACATAGACTATTTTATCTGTGAGGAGGTAAGTTTCACCCATTGTTTATAATAACCTATGACTTAGAAAGCTTGTTGGAATTTGAACTAATGATCCTTAATTCAAATATCATTGCACAATATCCACTGTATGAAACATGACCATTTTTACGCAATTTCCTGAAGTACTTGGCTTTTTCCCTAGTTGTTCTTCTTTTTTCAAAGAACTGTAATATGTCTTTTTAAATAGCTTTATCATATTTTTGAATTAGCATACATTAATAACATGAGAGAGTATCATTGTGATAATATCATACATAAGCATACTTTAAACAAGCTCACTCCCTCTAATATATTCTCATTCCTCCCTCCTCCCCTCTTTTCCAGACAGTGTTTGATAGGATCCAATATGCTGTCTCAATATTACATATATATGTATGTATGTGCGTATATGTGCATGTGTGTAGGGTACCTATCCTCTTCACTCCTCAGTATCCTTTCCTTTCCCCCATCACTGATTTTTTCACCCAAAACCATTCTTCTTTCACATTCATGTCCCATCATCATCATCATCACTTTAAGTCGAGGTTCCACAAATGAAGAAAAACATGAAGTATTTGGCTTTTTGAATTTGGCTATGTCACTCAATATGATGACCTCCAGGGTGTCATATAAATGTAACTATTATCCAATCTTTAGCAACATACAATAGTAAAAGAAACTTCACGTGGCAATGTAAAGTGTCAAAATTAAGTCATGTAAATATTTATATTCTATGTGTCAAATACCAAATGCTTAACATTAAAGTCATATTATATCCAGAAATAAGATTTGGGGGAAAGTCATAAAACCCTGAACCTTAATAAAATGTAAAAAACCAAGACAAATTCATGTCATAGATAAGAGAGTAAGTGTCGAATAGAAACACAAAATAAATTTAAGAGCTAAGTTTTTGATCCTGGCATCCTGCAGTCAATTTTTATGCAGAGGCTTACATAGTTGAGACAGGAGTATTGTTTCAATCAGGGTTGAAGTAAAAATGTAGACCCACTGGGAGATTAATGAGTCTCTCTACCCACTGAACTACCTACATACCTACCATTTACCCATCTGAAAGTATTGAAGTATTTGACTTTACACAGTTGTGGGTTTCTCTGTAACTCTGCTGTTGCATCTGATCCTGGACCTTGAAGTCCACAGGGAAGAAAGTTGAGAAGGGAAGATGTCTGTAAGGGGGGTCAGAGAACAAGTGGGAACACACAAAGGCATTTTAAAAGAAGTGTGTCTTCCAACTTGGAGATGGGGAGAGGATGACTGTCTATTGTCTAGAAATATAAAACCTTTTATACTTCAGGAAAGGTACATCTCTTTGTGGTCTTAAAATATGGAGTCTGGTCTCTCAGGGAGCCACCATTTTAAAGAGATGGAACAAATAGGACAAATATTTGGCCCTAAACAACAGAGCCACGTGTGCCAGGATGGGCAGAACAAATGCGCATTGCCATCAATAACTCCTATAGTAGTCAAAAAGGAGAGATTCAACCTGCTATTTGTGACCTTGGACAAGTATACAAATTAAGCCTGTTTGGGGTGCTGATTTAACAAACTTAATTCAAAGAATTTTATGTTCTGAATTTAACAGTTTATGCAAATGCTAAGTCCAGAGTTGGCTTTGTACTTGTTTGGATCCTAGGATTTAAACAATGTTACAGGTTACTCATCCATCTTGATCACAAGAAAAGTATGTATTAAGAGTGGACCTGAGAGTCCAGTCTTTTCCTGGGTCCCCAAGCACCTCCAATTGAAGACCACCCCTAAATACATCCACATTCTAATTCCCAGAACCTATGAATTGTTACCTTACATAGTAAAAGGAACTTTAAAACTATGATTAAATTAAAAATCTTGAGATGGAGAGTCTACCATGGATTTTTGTGTTGGATTCAATCACAAGGGTCCTGAAAGAGGGAGTCAACAAGGTCAAAGGCAATAGTAGGAGATGTGATCCTGAAGCAAGACTTTAAGTGGCATGAGGAAGGGATCATGAGCCAATGGGCCTCTAGAAGCTAGAGAAAGCAGGGAAACAAATTCTCCTTTGAAGCCCTGAAGGAAATGTGGCCCTGCCAGCAATTTG